CGCGCTCTTTGCGCCGGGCCCTCTGCACCCTGTCGCTTGGGTGACCCGGGTCTCTCCTTGTAGCTCCCCATCCTCGAACCGCCCTGTGCTTCTTGCATTATTTCCATTGCAATTTACTTTGCGGGAGGGCGGGCGCGTGGATTCCGCGAGGCGCGTGTAGAGATGAGAAGGCAACTTGAGGAAGTCTGTTCCTTGCTTCCACCTTTGTGGTTCGCCGGGTGGAACTAGGATTGAGTTTGTAAAGCTTGGCGGCAAGTACCTTCACCAACTGAGCGATCTCGCCCGCCCATCTGTGCGGTTTGACAGGAAAAATGAAAGAGCGACAGTTCCCTCCATTCTGGGCTTCCCACCGTTCTCAGGGCCCCTGCTGGATCCATTCTTTGTCCGTTCCTCCTGATCACTGTTTTCTCTCCAAGGCCAGCCAGTCCCGTGCCAGATAGTTCATGATTGTTGTCTGACTCCTCACACTAACCTTGAGATTGTTATTCTTAGAGTTTGTTGTCAGAACAGACTCAGAAGTTGTGTGACTGGCCTGGGGCTAGGTAATGAGAGATCTGGAGGAATCTAGGAATGACTGCAAGTGACAGCCTTTCCCTAATTTCTTTCCCTTGTTTTAAAAAAGTGGTTTCTGCTCAGTGTCTACTTCATCTTGCACTGTGCTGGGGAGTTGGGTCTTAAGCATTCTGTAACGTTTTAAATAAGAGCTCTGTCGATTTTATCCATTCTAGTGTCGGTTTCACACCTTGTGTAACAACTACCCACTTACTCTGTTGTGTTTTTGACAGCCACGATGGGGCCCCTTGCCCCCTTCTCTTTCCTTTTCAGACACGTGGGTGCCACTCTGTTCTTGTAGGTGATCACTCACTCACTACTCACGACTTGTGACCTGTCACCATGGTGGTTTCTTGAGAATTTTATAGAGATACTCTAACTGCTCACACTGGAAAAAAGCAAATACAGGCACACACATACCAACGACTTAACTTTTCGAAATGCATCAGAAGATATATCCTCTGAAGTCTTAGATATTCTTATCCAGTCTGGTGATTTCAACCACCTCAAGGTAACTCCGCAATCCACACATCTTTCTCAGAGCTTTCCAACTGTATGTTAGATGTCCCTACTTAGATCTAAAACTTAAGAAAAAAATTATGTCTGTGTGGATGTCAGTGTGTCTTGGTGCACACAGAGGCCAGGAGAAGGTTTAGATCATGTGGGGCTGAATGGAGTTAACAAGTGGTTATGAGCTGGCATGTGGATGGTGGGAACTGAACTCAGGCCTCTGGAAGAGCAGCAAGCACTTTTTAACTGCTGAGCTGTGTCTCCAGACATCAGATTCTTACATCGAAAGCCAGCTTTATTCATGGTCCCCCTTGCCTAGGAAAATGACCTCTTTCTCACACCCCACCTACCCTACTGCCCAAGCCAGCACACTGGCCATCTGTGGTGCCTTTTATCTTTTCCAGAATCCCACCCCCCCACCCCCGCCCCAGTCTCTGAGGAAATTAGCTACTAATCAGCTACTATTCAGTGCTACAGTGCCACCTTGGCCGGTTTCCTGCCACTGTTGCTGCCCCTTACTGTTGGTGTGTATTTCACCTATAAGGGATGGTCTCTCTTGAAAGTGTGTTTCTGATCTCATTCCACCAAAGGAATCCTTTTCTGTTCCCTAGTACTCCCAGGACAGGGTAGAACCCTCCTAATATAATCTAGCTCCAGGTTTTTCTTTTCTTTTTGATTTTTCAAGACAGGGTTTCTCTGTGTAACAGCCCTAGCTGTCCTGGAACTCGCTCTGCAGACCAGGCTGGCCTCACAGAGATTTGTCTTCTTAAATTATTCTTCTGTGGTTCTGTGCTCCATCCTCAGCCTCATCTTCTCAAGCTGACACCCTTGCATACATTTCCATATTGTCATGGGGGTATCTGAAATCTAGATTCATGGGTAACTTGTCTTTAAGTGTCTTTAGCCCTTCCTTGGCCTCTAGTCTGTTCTGTTAGTCACCTTCTATGTGCCCCAGAGCATTCTGTCCTCACTGTTCCATCCTCTGCAAGGCTTGTGTATTTCTGTCCATTTCATGCTATCGTGAAGATGTGGCCATGCACAAAAAAGGTTAAACAAGTTAATAGAGTGGGGACTCTGTATTTTCTTGCCTATAAAATAGTGACTTAACATGTCAGTCATTTTAAATTGACTTTAAAAACTGCCAGAATTTAATAAGCCATTGTGCAGAGCAGTTACATGTCTTGCTGGGTGTTAGTTGCCAGGATAAATGGCTTAAGCCTGGTCTGGGCTTTGGAACAGGGAGAAAATAACACTGGGTGGAGGTGAAGTTGTTTTGTGTGTTAGAAGATAAGGAAGATCTGGATGGGTGACGTGAACACAGTCACCTTGGAGAGATCTATGTTCTCTGAGCTCCTGAAGGAGTATTGCTCCCACGCAGGGAGCTGGTACAGAGAAACCCTGCATAGAGACAATTAACCATTTTGGAGACAGGGCCTAGGACATGAGTTTCTACATGTCACTTTTCTCCCCCACCTTTAAAACTTACAGCCAGGCGTGGTGGCCCTGCTCTGTAATGCCAGTCCTTGGGAGGCAGAGGCCGAAGGATGGTAAATTAAAGGCCTACCTGGGCTACATAACAAGTTCCAGGCCAGACAGGGCTGTACACTGAGATCCTGTCCTGTCCTTACCCCAACCCTCCAAACCGAGTAGATTCCAAAACCACATAAAAGCTGTAGATATAAAGGGAATGGGGCCAGGGGATGGTAATGTTGCCCTGTGTGCTCCCAGATGTAGACACGGGGGCTTCTAAACGTGGGGATGGAGCAGCAGGGAAGCAGCTTAGAACATGTCAGTGTGTAACTCACTCATCACTGCTGAGTGTTCTTTGGAAGCCCTGAAGTCTCTAGAAGTATTCACTTGGGGAGGGGAGGGGTATCTGCCCTCGGTTCGTGTAGCAGCAAAATGGGTCGGTAGCTCCACGGAGTGTTAGCCAGGCATGGTGAGCAGCACACTCATGTGCTTCTAGCCCTTCAGGAGGCTGAAGCAGGGGGATGGCATGTTTAAAAGCAGCCTGAGTTACATAGGGAGTTCTAGTATAGCCAGGGCATGATAGCAAGAAACTGTTTCAGAAAAAGGAGGAATTTCATGCACAGGAAGAAAACAAATGATGGGATTGGGACCTGTTTCCTTTGTCACTGCAGGCAGAGTTCGGGTAGGGGGAGGACATCCTTCCTTATGTCTCATTGCAGTGCTGTCCCTGTACCAACCTGTGGAGGCAGAACTGCCTCCCCTCTAAAGCAAATGGGCAGCCAATAGGGAAGCTGTCTGTGCAGAGCTTGGCCCCACCAGTCTAGGTTAGGAAAGGAACCTTCTGCAGCAGGCAGTGATGAGTGCTATTAACACTTCTGCATACTTGTTGATACGCTTTTCACATCAGTATATCAGTGTGAGGAGGCTGGGATTCGAGGCTCAGTTAGCAAACTGTTTACTTAGCATGTATGGAACCCCAGTTCAAGCCCCAGGACCAAATAAACAGGCATTGGGGTACAGATCAGCAGTCCTAGCACTCAAGAGATGAAGGCAGGAGAATCACAAATTCAAAGCCATCTTTAGGGACAGGTTGAGTTTTGAGGCTAGCCTGGGCTATGTGGGACCCTTTCTCCAAAAGCCTTGCAGGCCAGCAAGATAGCACTTCCTGCCAAGGTTATGGCACTTCCTGCCAAGCTTGACAGCACAAATTCAAGCCCAGAGAACCATATGGTGGAAGGAGAGAACTGACTAACTCCACAAAGTTATCCTCTGACCTCCACATGTACAGCCTGACACATCCACACACAAGATACATAAATGTAAGAGGAAAACAGATCCCTTGTTCCAGTAGCCAGCCCCTGTCTCATCCTGTGTTTGGAGAACAGTCACGTGTAAAAATAGCAGTGACAGTTGGTCACACTCATCTGTGGTCGGCTTTCACAGGGCCTGCTTCAGAGTTCTGATGTTGGATGCCACTGCCAGCAGTGTTGAGAGCTGGTCCCCACCCATGGGAGAAGTGTCCAACTTTGGGGTTGCACACCCAACAGGCCACCTGCCCATTTCAATCCTAGACTGTCCTAAACTGGTTTTGTGGCATGATGTCATCTCAAGTTAACCTGCTACCAGATGTTGTCATCTTGTCAGAGGTGACAAGAATCATCTGCAGAGGCTCTATAACTCTGATATGAGCTGCTTCTCTGTTGCCCACCTGGCCTCTGGCTGTCCCACCCCTGACCCTTTAGCCAGCTTGTTGTCCCATCTGTGCCACAGTTCTAGACCATGAGCAAGATTGTGTTGTGGTCTTGTCCAGAAGTCTTTGGTGGGTCTCTGCTGGTTAAAACAAGACTTCAGCATGGTCTTGATGAGGTTGGTCATCTTTCCAGCTACAAAACTGGGCCACTCCCACATGGCCATAGCATGTCCTCAGGCAGGGAGCAAAAACAAGTCCTCAATGTATTGCAGATCATCGTTCCAGTTTATGAAGCTTCAGTAGTCTCCGAGTACCTGGCAGAAAGGGGAGACTGACACTAGGACCGCCACCGGTTTGCCTGGTTGTTTTCGGAATTAACTATATTTTTATCTCTGTATTCATAACTTGTACTGCTTGTTATTTTTTAAAGGCTTCTGATTGTTCATTAATGGGGCTGACAGCATATTTTGGGGGCCACTTAAATGGTGGGGCTAGGGGGGTGAGCCTTGGCTGGTGTATCACAGAGTCCACCTGTCTGAGCCTTTTAGGTCCTAACCATCTGTCTTTACCATCTTCTCCCCAGCGCCTGCTGCTGTCAGGAATTGTTTCCCACTTAAGTGTCCTGTCTTCCACCATCCTTCCTTTATTCACACTGAAATATGTGCAGCCTGAGAGGCCTAGTCTGGGTGGGTCCTTAGAGATAGGGTTTCTCTCTGTAGCCTGGCAACATGGTTGTTTTTGAGGGTTCATAAGGTCACAGAATAGAACTAAAGAGACAGCGAAGGGTACCCTGGTGGTTGAAATTGAGGTAGGTGAGAGGAGTGGCATCTTTACCCCTCCCAGATGCAGTTTGAAAGACTCCTTTTTTCTTGCCCTCATGACTTCAGGTGGAAAAAAGGCCTTAAAACAAAACAAAACAAAACTGTATCATGGCCAGGCATGGTGGCGCACGCCTTTAATCCCAGCACTCAGGAGGCAGAGGCAGGCGGATCTCTGAGTTTGAGGCCAGCCTGGTCTACAAAGCAAGATCTGGGGCAACCAGGGCTGTTACACAGAGAAACTCTGTCTGGGGATGGGGGTGGGGGGGATGGATAATTGTATCATAGAACAAAATTAATTCATTTGCATTGCTGTTTGTAAAATGCTAAGTTTATGTTTTCTTTTTTCCAGCCATCAAAAATAAGGATCAATCTAGAAGAAAATGTGCAGTATGTGTCCATGAGAAGTAAGTTGACTCCTAAGTAGGTTTGGGTTTATAGTTTGAATGTCACACAGTCAACATGGTTAGTTTGTCTGGTTGGTTTTTTATTTTGTTTTTTGAGATAGGGTTTTTCTCTGTAGCCTGGCAACATGGTTGTTTTTGAGGGTTCATAAGGTCACAAAACAGAACTAAAGTGACAGTGAAGGGTACCCTGGTGGTTGAAATTAAGGTAGGTGGGAGGAGTGGCATCTTTACCCCTCCCACAGTGCAGTGGCAGTACTGTACATGTCACCATAGGCTTGTGTCCACATGGTTCTCTGTGGCCCCTTCACTCTTCCTGGTTTTACTCTGTCACCAATTCATGTTTAGGGTATCGGATGATCTTTGTGATCGATGTCCCCTTCATTGACTTCCTCTTGATTTGGTTCTTATCACGGGCACTCCTTTCATTTACAGATGCCGAGATGTAGATCCTACAAACCGTCTTTTGTTTCCTTCAGCATCTGCCACCATCTCCCCTGTGGCCGGTCAGCAAGTTAGGTCAGCTTGACTCTTGAGGTGTTTCTTTCAACTGTCCCACACTAGCTGACAATGACATCTCTGCATGAGTGACCAAGCTTCAAAATACAGCCGTGGATTGTCATCCATCATGCATGAGTAGGCTGAGACCCAGAAAGGTTAAGCAGCCCACCCAAAGTTGGCGTCTGGTACCATACATATAGCTTCATCCTGTCTGAGTGGACTGCTGTCTCCAGCTGCCAGTCTGGCTCTCCCAAGCCCAGTCAGGGCTCTCATGCCTCTTACCCTCTAGCCTGGTGTGTGCCTAGTTCTCAGATGCTGCTTTGTCCCTCCTTGGAGTGGGGAGCACTAGGCTTCATCTTTCTGTGCTGCTCCCAGCATCCTCCTGTAGGAGTATCCCCAGTTCTTCACTCCAGTAAAGATGGCACACCATGTTCTCCAGTGACTTTGAATACCATTCAACATACCACTGTTTATGGCAGAGCTCCTTATCAGGCCCATGCAGTGCTCTTGCTTGGGGAGCTGTCCCCACAGCAGCCCTTGTTAGAGATGTTCAATTAGTTTTGTTCTTTATAAAGTGGCTGACATCCTGGGAATGTGCTCAGCTTACACTAATAGGACAAAATGTACCCAATAAATGTCTAGCCAGTGAGTGAGTATAAAATGAGAATAATGAAGTCTGGCATGTCTTGTGAGCATCATCCGATATCATGTTCCCAAGCCCTGGGATAGCTCAGCACTTCTCCATGCACTTAAATATGCAGCCATTTAGAGTAATGTAGCACACCTGGACACAGTGTGCACACCTTTGATCCCAACACTCAGGAGGCAAAGGCAGATCTCTGAGTTCGAGGCCAGCCTGGTCTACAGAGCAAGTTTCAAGACAGCCAGGGCTACACAGAGAAACCCTGTCTTAAAAAACAACAAAAAGGAATAATGAATGAAATAAATTTGTTCATACATCATGATCACGATATTGAAAGAGCATATTGCAGAATGCTATTTTCCTATTTTGCTTTTAAAAGCTATACGTTTAAGTGCCTGGAGAGATGGCTTAGTAGTTAAAAGAGCGTATTGCTCTTCCAGAGGACCCCAACACCTACACAGTGGCTCACAACCACTGCAACTCCAGTTCCAGGGGATCCCATGCCCTTTTCTGATCTTAGTGGGCAATAGACACACACTTGGTACACACACATGCAGGCAAAGCACTCATACACATAAGATAAATATTTTTTAAAGACTTTATTTATTTGTTATGTATACAACATTCTGCTTCCATGTATATCTGCACACCAGAAGAGGGCACCATATCTCATAACAGATGGTTGTGAGCCATCATGCGGTTGCTGGGAATTGAACTCAGGACCTCTGGAAGAGCAGCCAGTGCTCTTAACCTCTGAGCCATCCCTCCAGCCCCAATAAGTAAATATTTTTAATATTAAAACTATACATATGAGCAGAGAGTAAGTACATAAGATATAGTAGATATTTTTAATAAGTAAATATTTTTTAAAATTAACAGAAAAAACTATACATCTGAGTGAAGGATGTTGCTCAGTGGTAAGGTGCTTGCCTGGCCTCTGTGAAGCCAGGCTCATTCCTTAACACACCAAAGAAGAATGAACAAAAACTAGATATTGACGTCCAGATGTGTGTTGGCAGATTATGTGTGAAATGAAGGCATCTGATTTCAAAATCATTTCTAATCCTCTTTCTGAGAAGTAGTTCAGCGATGGTTACAGAAATTTCTTGGAGGGATGTGGACTTGTAAAAAATGGTTATTAGTGGAAACTCACCAGCCTTTATTGAAACCTGATGCCTTTGCTCAGACCAGCTGACCATTTGCCTTTCATCCAGTTAGAGAAATGTTTCCATAGAAACCAGCAGGGGTTTCCATGGCTGTCTGCTCCGATCCTTAGGGAATAAGCGGCTGTCCAAGAAATGTCGGCTCATGTGGCACTGTGCTCTCCTTTGCAGAAGCTTTGAAAGTGAAGAGGCCCCGTTTTGATGTGTCGCTGGTGTACTTAACTCGAAAGTTTATGGATCTTGTCAGATCTGCCCCTGGGGGCATTCTCGATCTAAACAAGGTTGCCACAAAACTGGGAGTTCGGAAACGGCGCGTGTATGACATCACCAACGTTTTGGATGGCATCGAGCTGGTGGAAAAGAAGTCCAAGAACCACATTCGATGGATGTGAGTTTATGTCTGTCCTTACCCTTTTCATTAACGTCTGTCCAGCAGCAGCAGCCTTTGGGAATAGAAAATGAGGTCTTTTAGGCAAAGATTCCATAAGGTTTTCTTGTTATCTCAGTGTACTTAAATGTATGGGACTACTGAGGTCTAAGTGTAAACATTCAGATGGTGTGTAAAGTTAAATGGAATAAGGTGGTTAATTAATTAATTAATTATCCCTATAAGATCATAAGAATGAAACATGGGATTTTAAAAAGGGGATTATTTTTAAGTGTATTTCCTTAGTGTGAATTAATAACGGAAGACATGATTCCCACGAGGCCATATAGTACTCAGCCAGGAACCCAGTCCCTCCTGACTCTTTCTGGAGCAGAGCAGATGTCAGCATGTCTACTGCATGACTGCGGTGCTGGTGAGATGACACACCACCCTGAGTGTAAAAACACACTTCATGCTCAAAAGGCAGTTGCTAAAGAGTTGACATGATTGGGAAGGGTCTCGTAGAAAGAAAGCCTGAAGATAAGACACAGACAGAGAGTGTATGCACAGGAAAAAAAAAAAAAAAAAAAAAAGCTGTGTACTTAGGAAAAAGAATTCCAGCATGGGAGTAAATGAGAAATACAATAGGTAGTAAAACCCAAAGATGATCAGTGACTAAATGAATGGTAGAGGAAAGGGCTTCTTGAAGGACACTGTTTTAGAACAAAATACAGGCAACTCTGATGAGAACGTTCTCCTTCAGGGTACTGTATCAGTCATTCCGAACCTTAATCCCAGCACTCGGGAGGCAGAGGCAGGTGGCTATCTTTGCTCAAAGCCAGTCAAGGCTACCTAGAGAAACTGTCCCAAGAAAAGAAAGGACGGGCATAACCACACAGATGGTGTAAAAGGAAATGCAGATGCTCCCACTTAGCCTGCTCTCCCTCCACAGACAGCTTTGCTCCTCTCCTGGCAGCTGCTGACCTCGTGTCTGTTTTCATCTGCAGAGGATCCGACCTGAACAACTTCGGAGCGGCACCACAACAGAAGAAGCTGCAGGCCGAGCTCTCGGACCTGTCGGCGATGGAAGACGCCTTGGACGAGTTGATTAAAGATTGTGCCCAGCAGCTATTGGAGTTAACGGACGACAAAGAGAATGAAAGATATCCTTCCACCCATACCTGTGTAGAAGAACTTCTGCTTCCAGAGTAGATAATGTCTTAGGGAGAGATTGGGCGATTAAGTTTCATGCCTAGATATAAAATTAGGCCCTTAAAAGTACTGTAGCCTCGAACACACAAGAGCAATCCGTGTTAATTGTAGCCTCTCTGTGCTCCTGGGTCAAGTCTGCATGACAATGGTTGGCAGTGACATACCCAGTTTGCCCTTGCATGTTAAAATTAAGGAGTGTTTTGTTTGTTTGTTTGTGTTTTATTTTTTGTAATCTCTTTCCTGAATGGTAAAATGTTTGTCAGCTTTTGTAGAAATCAGGCTTTCCCCAATTTGTGAACTAGCCACTGCAGTAGTGTCTTTGCTTATCAGTCCATGCAGGAAGCCTGTAGAGCAGGAACTGGGAGAACCTGGTCCTTGGTACCTCCCCTCCCCCGCCACTGTTCTGCTGTCTACAGTTTTCTGTGCCCTCTGTGAGTGTCAGTAATTCCTGCTCCCTCCACTCTCCATGGCAGTCAAATCCTATTACTACAGGACAGAGCTTAGAAAATCAAAGCCAAGGCTCGCTGTGCCAGCTAACCGGAGAGTCTGTAGTCTAAAAGGAAGAAAGCCAGAGCAACTGGACCGAGTGAATGTAAAGTATCTGGCAACATCGTAGAAAGAGTTGAAAGGCGTTCGGTGACAGAAATGTGCTTAGAAGGAGATCACAGGTGCATGATCGCGCTGAAAGCTTCCTCTGTGGGTTCTTCCTGCTTTATGGACTTTTTTTTTCTTTTCCTGCCTTCTGGAGTATTTTTATCCAAATCGTGAATGCTTTTTTCTCAGGTTCCCATAGTAAGAGCCAACACTAAACTCTTAATAGTGAATGAGAATTCACACTGAATATAGCATAGGTGGGGATTTGAGCATAGTGCTTTCCCCTTGTTTGTGGTTTTGCTTTCTGTAATTTCTGTTGCCCACAATCAGGTATGATCTAAAAAATATCACATGAAAATTCTAGAAGTAATAACTTTCAGTATGCTATATGCTATAGTTATACTCCCTTATTATTATTGATTTCTTACTTTGCCCAGTGTATAAATTCAACCACACTTCAGAAGTGTATGTGTAGGGAAATACGTGCTATACATAGGGTTTGGTATTGGTCCATGACTTTGGGCATCTACTGGGGATTTGGGATATCCACCCACCACCTCACTCCACTCCAAGGACAGGAGATAGTTATCTTTGTGAGTTGTGTTTATGTTCAGTTTTGGGGGCTTTATTAATCTCTTTCTCCAAAAATTGCTCCAGTCAGTATTTGGTTTAAAAGAGTTCTTTGTTACAAATATTATAAAACACCATAAAATCTTAAGAATTCTTTTTGAAGTAATAATTACCCTGAAGTTTTGGTTTTTTTTCTGTTTCTCTTCATTATAGGTTTGTATCCCATAAAAGCTAAGCTATTCTTGTACCTGCATTCATGTAAGAGATAGTGATCTTGCCAGGCTTGGTGGCATAAGCCTTTTTCCCAGCACTCTTACATAATGAGACTTTGCCTCAAAAAAAAAAAAAAAAACCAGGGGCAGGGTTGGGGGTGATGACATGTCAGTTTTGTCAGATCCTTGACCAGGTTTCACACTAGCATACGTAACCTATCAGGATATCCACAGCATCCAAGCCTTCCATGAGCAGATTGTTATTGCTGTGAAAGCTCCAGAGGAAACCAGACTGGACGTCCCAGCTCCCAGAGAAGTAGGTAGTGCTTCACTACAGGAAGGATTTAAAGAGGGGCGTGGGTTAGCTGCCAAGTCCGTGACCACTGCAGTCACTTGTGTCCTATGCCCTTGCCAAGCTATGTACCTGTTAGCTTAACCATGAGTGAGGCAGTCCTTGTAACCTTCTCAGAGAGGAGAGAGCCAAGCACACAGAAGCAGGTGTGCTTCAGGAGCCCACACGGTGACCAGCAGGACCAGGCATAGGGCAGAGTTTGGCTTGCAGCCATGCTGCTGCTGTCCGACTACAAAAGAAATTGCTTCATTGGCTTTGCCTTGGTCTTCAAGTTCCAAAAGTAATAGCTGGTATGGCCAGAGCTCCGGGGAGCTAGCTTGCTACCAACTCACCAAAGACTAAGAGTGAGCTAGACCACCGAGTCACAGATATAGAACCTCTGTGTAAGGCCAGTCTTCCTATCTGCTGCCAACTGCTCCAGGAAGGTTTGTGTTGAGAGTCATTGTCACCAGAAGGTCCCTTGATGAGGATGGAGTCCAAAGCAAAGCTGGTGGCCCTTCTAGGCATTCTGACAGCCAGCCGGGTAGCTCCCATGCTGCTCATCACCAGCCATCATATCACTGTCGTGATGGCAAAGATTATTCCCACTGCCTTCCTTTCTTTTGTCCCCAGCAGTTCACATAAACACATGTCACCTGACAGTGTATCATCAGTCATGAAGGAGCACCACTTTTCCCTCGATCCTGTTCAGATTGTACCCTGGTGACATTCCCTAGTTTGATTTGGATTTAGACAAGTGTCCAAGTAACATATTTAGGATGAGTTAGTTATTCTGCAGACTCTGAAACTCTTTAGCCACTATTCTTGCAGGACAGCTTTTCTTTGGAGCATGGTAATCCGTCCTACAGGAATTAGCAGGGTTTGATCTCCCAGTGCTCTGAGCTGCTTGCCCGGAATTGCTAAATCACTCTGAACTGTTGAACACACACAGAGCCTCTCTCGGTCCCATTCAGAGCTCTGCAATTGAGGTCCTCCAGGCTGGTTGTTCTCAGCAGTGTCCTCGATCAGTAGACTGACTATGTGTGGCTCTAGTGGGGATTGTGTGCTTAGTACAGAGCTGGCATAGTGGCCTTCAACTCGTTCTAGCTTCCTACTTGTTCTTGTAAATTGTTTTGTTGGAGCAAGGCCATCTGTTTAGATATCACCCATTGGCTTTCATGCCACCATGGCAGAGTCAAGTAGTTGTGGCACAGCGTGGCCTGAAAAGTCAGAAACAGGTACCATCTCCTCTGTCCTCCTTTTAAAATTTTTTTGAAAACTTCTGTGTATGTGAATGGGTATGTGCACCTCAGTGCAAATGCCCCCTGGAGGCCTTGGCTGGCGTTGGACCCTGGAGCTGGAGTTCCGGGTGGTTGTGGTCACCCTGACATAGGTGCTAGCATCCGAATGCTGATCCTCCACAGGAGGAGAGCACACCCTGAACCTGTGAGCCATCTCTTAGTTCCTCAGGGTTCCTCTTTACAGAGTGACTTAGTGGCTGGTGGAGTTTGAAGTCTTTTCTGCTGACTGCCAGTCAGGAGCAACATTGTTTTCTTGAATTATTTGATGTTAAAAGGTTTCCATTTAAACCTGCCCTGGCATTGCAGCCTCCGAGCATGAAGGTGGTTGGCCTATCTCACCTGTCTGACAAGCTGTCAGCCAGCTTGTTTGGATGAGATCCCAGAGAGCAAAAGAGCTGGAGCGACGGTGACATCTAGACTGGCCTATCCATGTGGATGTGGAAAGGGTGCACTTGAGGAGCTCTGGGCCAGTTCCCAATGGGAAAGACAAGGAACCATAACTGCAAATGCCCCTTACATATTTAGTCTCTAAATACAAGCAACCACATTTTTAATTTCTTATGGGAAAACCATTGGAATTTGCTCCTGGGTAAATAGAACTGAAGCCAGAGGATAATAGTCATTTAATCTAGTGTTTCTCTTTGTGTATGACATTTCAAATTCCATGAGGCATGTTTTGATCTCATCTTTTCCTCTTCCATCTTTTCACTGGACAAAAAAACTAGCCTTCCTGTGACCTCAGTACCTCTACACTGGTTTGGAAACACCGTGTACGAATACGGTTGGGTACTCCAGAACTCCCTGCTGCCAGAGGAGGAGAAGGGGGAGGGGTTTCCAAGACCTCAGCTGTCCATTCTGTACCTCCAAGACCGTTGCTACTGGAATGATTAAGTAGAGGTCTTCACTGTAAATTGGCCAGTAGTTTAGAGTGCAGTGACAGTTGAGAACATGTTTATCTCAAATGCACGGTAGAAAGGAAGCTACAAGAATTTAAGTTAATTGAAAAACTGCAGTTAATTGATGCGCATGTTCACGTTGGCAGTCTGTGTGTCTCTTGCTAGGATTCTATCACAGTTCATATCCGAAGTACCAAAGGACCCATTGACGTGTATCTGTGTGAAGTTGAACAGACCCACTCAAGTGGTAAAACAGCCGATGGGGTAGGGGCCTCTCCATCTAAAAACAGACACCCAGAATGCCCCTCGAAAGGTAAACACGCCCATTTTGTGATCCGAGGAGCATTAGGGTTCCAGCATCTTAGATGTAACTTAAATACACAGCTTCAAGGTTTTTTATGATTTGTGTTTATTTCTAATTGTGCACGTGTGTGTATGTGTGTGTGTGAGTGTGTGTGTGTGCATGTGTGGGTGCATGCACATGAATATAGGTGCCCTCAGAGGCATTGGATCCCCTGGAGCTGGAATTACAGGCACTTGTGAGCCAGCAAGCATGGTTGCTAGAAAGGAACCCTGGTTTTGGGGACGAGCAGTAGAGCTCTTCACCGCTGAGCCCTCTCCAGCCTCTGAGCTGAGTGTGTCAGTGTACTCCTATAACATCAGCCCGAGGAAGCTAAAGCAGATAGATCCATATTGCAGGTCGGCCTCAGCTACACAGTGAGAGCCTGCCTCCAAAAATTCTATGACTAAGAGCATGAAAGTCAATTGTGTTGGGGCACCAGCTGGTACACTCTGGCCAGAGGAAGCTGTCAGTGCTGTCTGATAGGTGCTTTCCAACACTGGATTGGAGTTCTCATTTGTTCTGTGAGCCTAAAAAGATCATTCCGACCACTGGTGCGAGAGAAGGTTCTTGACCAGACGACTTCGTTTCTTGAAATTGTTGAATCCTGTACCTGGCTGCTGTTCCAGCCTTCACTCAGTTTCTTTGTATGTTTCGTTTCAGAAGACAAGTCTCCTCAGTCAGAGCCACTCAAAGTGAGCGACTGACAGCAATGCCAAGTGGTGAAGGTTTTTGGAGCCTCCTGCGTGGATGAATTATGTACCAGTTTGATCCTCAGCAATAAGTCTTCGTGGCGTGGTCTCGTTCTCTTACTCTAGATTCGTAGCAGCGTGAAGGCCAGTAGTGTCCCTGAGTAGCTTCCTGCTTAGGTCCCTGGATGGTTTCCACGTTCAAAATTAGCTATTGCTAATTCTTCGCTGCCTTTTGTCAGTGAGACGGACCTCTTCCCTCCTGAGATGATTTTATCACAGAGGATATCAGGAGAACAGACAGTTGGCCATGGTCGTGGACTCTGCCCTTCCCTGATGGATGGTGTTTTTGCTTCTCAGAAGAATTGCCTTACACTGGCTCACATTCACGGTTAGGTGTAGTGCACTGGTGAGGTGTACACACAGGACCAAATGTGGCGCCTTTGTACATATCTGTATCATGTTTAGATTGCTTATGAAATATGTCTGAGTGACACTTCTGCCCTAGATCAGCCAAAATAATGTATATAGAGAAAATGACAGCTCTCTACTTCTTCAGCATCAATAACTTATTAGAACCCTCTGGATGGGGGTGAGGGGAGTTTTCTAAAGTTTTACATGTAGACATTTCACAGACAATGCTGTATATTTAGGTTCACATACTTAAAGTATTTTAATACAGTTCCCAATGCTACAATAGGAGTTGGATACTTCTTGATTTTAAGCTGCCTACAGAGTCACTACTTCCCAGTAGATTGGTGGTGTGCCTCAAGGTGTTGGGGACAAGTATAGAAATGCCCTCTGGCAACGGATCAGTTCGCCACACCGTGAGTTTGGTCCTGGTGAAAGTAAAAGCATTGTCAACGCTTTGTGCAAGCAGATTTTATAATGTGTTTCTGTGTGCAGCCGCGCTGCTCTGTCAGAGGGTCTTAGCTCCCATGCATCATACCCTGCCCACCCTCATGCTCTCACCCAGCCTTCCCAAGCACCTAGCTGTTTCTACCTCAGTGGATAAGTCATTTACCTCTCTGTGCCTCTGTTTACCACTAGACTGTGAGCTCCATGAGAAACCTTTTCGTAGTCACGCTCAGCACCTCGCACCACACCTAGTCCATAATAAGTGCCCAATCAATGTCTATCGAACTAGCGCGTGGGTGAGTGCAACATGGGGCCGATGGAACCGGGCTTATTGTTGGACAGGAGTCTGGGGAACATCATTGGTATGTTAAACCTCTCTTGTTTTACAAAAGATTTGAAGCAACTTGAAATAATGACCATGTGTACAAAAAAAAATAAAAATTAAAGTAGGGAATCCAAAATTAAAGTATTAAAAATAATACGGCCTGGTACTTTTGATTCACACAGTCTCTGCTGGTATATTTCAAGATTCCTAGAAACTACTGGTAATCAGTATGTTTGGCCTCCAGACACCCCTTCCTTTCTTATGTATAAAAGGGTTTTGGTTTTTTTGTTTGTTTGTTTGTTTTTTTAATTAGCCAAAGAAAGGATTTAGCACAACCTTCCTAACACTGCCACCCTTTTACACAGTTCCTCATGTTGTGGCGGCCTCCCAACCATAAACTTATTTCCATTGCTACTTCATAACTAATTTTGCTACTGTGATGAAATACAATGTAAATATCTGTTTTCCGATGGTCTTAGGTGACCCTGTGAGGATTGTTCAATGCCCCCAAAGGGGTGGTGACCCACAGGTTGAGAACCACTGGCTTAGAAGCTATTCTGTTTCCTCATTGGACTACTTAGTGGAATGATTTGACAAGACAGGGAACCCAAGAAGAATAGCCAAGTGGGTAACAGTTATACTTTTGATGGGAGGGAAAGTTCTGGCAAGTGTGTGTAGAGATCAAGGCCCTGGGAAGAGCTGAGCTTGTAAAGTGCACTGGCAGGTGGTTCATGTATAAAAACCAGGAGAGGGAAGGAGCTCATCTGGTGCATTGACCACTTTTTTTTTTTTAAGATTTATTTATTATATATACAGTGTTATGCTTGCATGTATGCCTTCAGTCCAGAAGAGAACACCAGATTTCATTGCGGATGGTTGTAAGCCATCATGTAGTTGCTGGGAATTGAACTCGGGACCCCTGGAAGAGCAACCATGTGTTCTTAACCGCTGAGCCATATCTCCAGAGAGCATTGACCACTTCTTAACCACAGACTTAGAATAAAGTCTCTAGGTGGGCACATGTGCCCCACTAACAACCAGAAGTTCTGCTCCTAAGAGGGGAGGGATATATACAGGATGTAATGCTGATTATAACAGTTAGCGAGCTCTGGTTCTCCCCTCCCAAGGACTAGGAGAGTCTGCAAATAGTTTCAGACAGCTGACTATGAGGTAGTTACAGGTTGCAGACCATGCATCCAACAGACAGAAAGAGCCACAATTGACCTTGAACAACTTCATGGAACAGATCCTGCCAGTCCTCACAAGGCATGGAATTTGTCAAATATTTAGCTGCAGTATAATCTAACCCATTGTGGGGACTAATATATGAGTGGACAGCAGCTTTCTGCAGCCCAGAGTAAAGGATAATCCAGTCAGAATATCCTCGTCAGACCTAGAACTGTTGTCAGTTGGTTCTGATCAACAACAGGGTTGAAATAGTGGTCATTCAGTAACATGTGACTGGATCTATTTGCCCTTGGGTAGTATGAATGGAATCCAACTCAAGAATGTGTGGTGGTGATTGCCATCTAGTGAGGAACTAATTATTCAGGCAGTATTTTCTTTTACCTGAGTAGATACTGCTAGGAAATAACATGGCCTGGATTTTCTTTTTAATTTTTCAAGACAATTTCTTTGTGTAGCCCTGGCTGTCCTGGAACTGACTCTAGACACGATGGACTTGAACTCAGAGATCTGCCTGCCTCTGTCTCCCAAGTGCTGGGATTAAAGAAAGGCACCACTACACCCTGTTTAGCACGGATTTTCTTTTTCTTTCTTTTTTTGTTTTGTTTTGTTTTGGGTTTTTGTTTGTTTCTCGAGACATAGTTTCTCTGTGTAGCTTTTGAGCCTGTCCTAGAACTTGCTCTGTAGACCAGGCTGGCCTCAAACTCACAGAGATCGCCTGCCTCCGCCTCCCAAGTGCTGGGATTAAAGGTATACACCACCACAGCTTTAGCGTGGGTTTGCTTTCTTTCTTTCTTTCTTTCTTTCTTTCTTTCTTTCTTTCTTTCTTTCTTTCTAAGATTTATTTATTTATCATGTATACGGTAAGTGCCAGAAGAGGGCATCAGATCACGTTACAGATGGTTGTGAGCCACCATATGGTTGCTGGGAATTGAACTCAGAACCTCTGGAAGAACAGTCAGTGCTCTTAACCCCTGAGCCATCTCTCCAGCACCCCCCCCTTTTTTTTTAGCGTGGGTTTTCAACAGGCATTTTCAGATACCAGTTTGGTTAATGAGAAACCATTTTATTTGATCCTCAGTACCCTTGTAAAAAGCCTTGTGATGGGTTCCCTAGGACTCACTGACCAGCCAGCATAGTCAATCAGTAAGCCCCTAGCCAATGAGAGCCTGCCTCACAAAACAAAGTGCACAGTTCCTAAGGTGTAACACCATTGGTTATCCTGTGACCTACACACAAAGGGGGAAAGAGAAAATATGAGTGGCTATCAGGCTGATGAGATAGTTCAGCTTCTTGCAAGCATGAAGACCCAAGTTTGGTCCCCAGGACCCATATAAAAAGGCTAGATACAGTGGTAAGCACTTGTAACCCTATTGCTGGTGAAGTGGAGATGGGGATCCCTGGGGCTTGCTGGCTAGCAAGCTTAGATCGTTCATCAGGTTCCATGCCAGTTAAAGACCTGATTTCAAAATTAAGGTGGACAGCACCTGAGACATGCCATCTGAAGCTGGCCTCTGCCCTCTACAATGCACATGCATGTGTACCTTCAGACACACAAGCACACACCCAGTGTACTGCTGTGGTTTGTGAAATGTTTCCCACAGGCTCTCATGTTTCAACACCTTCCCCCCAGCTGGTGGCGCTGTTTGGGAAGGTTGTGGAACTTGGGAGGTGGAACCTTGCTAGAGGAAGTTACTGGTCACTAAAGATGACCCTTGGGGATTTATACCCACCCTTACTATTCATGATGTCTGCTGATTGTGGATGTGATGTGTCCAGCCATCTTCCTGCTCCTGCTGCCATGCCTGCTCTACCACTGTAGACCATAACCCTCAGGAAACTGTAAACCAAAATAAACCATTTTTCCCCTAAAGTTGCTTGTGCCTGTATTTTATGAGAATGTAAGCAACGAGAAAGTAAGACATCTGCCTATGAGCCATTTTCCGTCTTCCACAACCCACTGCACAGACTGTCAGATGGGTCCATGACATTGGCCCTGTTGAACAGGAAGTATCATCTTAGATGTCTTAGTAAAACATACATGAGCTAAGGGTTGTAGATAAGCCCATCCTTGGTACCAAGTAACCTTCCATGGTAAACCACAGAGGCAAGTTGATACAAGAAATGAATTACTCAGAAGCTGGAAGGCCATGGTAGCCAAAAAGGAACGTTGAGGTAACACCTTCATAAATCCAGAAGTGTCTGCAGCAAGGCTATCATCATAAGCTAGCATCAGAGGAGAGTCTGCATCCTGCTGTTTCTAAACCCCAGAAGTAGAAGCCACATAAGACCTTGGCCCTCCACTAGGAAGAGACTCCTTCATCTAGCTGGTGCTCAAGCCTGATGAGTCTGACATGCCCAATGTGCTTGTCACTAAGGGGACCACAGTTCAGCACTTCCAAGGGATACCATAGCTGCTGCTGTAGCTGCCTGGACACTCTGGAAAGGAACTGTCATTGTCTTCTATCGCCACAGGAAGACTGATGGGGGCTGGAACTGGAAAGAGAATCCCACCGCATGCGTCCCATTCTACTGATGAGCTAGTCTCCCACCCTGCAGTCAGCAAGGGAAGTATAGGGGGTGTGGGTTGCAGAGCCTCAGTCCCAAGATCATGGGTCAGGAAGTAAATGGGTGAACTTGGACCAGGGAGACTGTAGAAAATATTTGGCATTCCCTTCCCACTCAAGATGGCTCCATGGAGTGGCAGTCGGCTCTGTCCCTGGCTCACTGCCACAGACACATCTTACAAGTAGAAATGATTGATTTAAATGATAAGATTCCTTTGCAGTTCTTATTCTGGAATCCTGAGTTGACTTCTGAGTCCAAGTTGACATAGACATGAATTGTTTCTGAGAGATTTTGTTCCCATAGTGTGTTTTGTCAAATATCCTGAACTGACAAACGCTTACCATTCTCTCTGGGAATGTGGCCCCCTGCCTCATCTCATTCCCCTCGGTGACAATTGGTACAGGACTTGGCAATAATGATATCATCTGCAGGGTCACCGTCCGCCCTGAATCAGCGGACATGCCCACATGCCTCAAACCTCATTCTCCTACCCTGCACCACTGGGCAGTGGTGTCTACAAAGGTAGCAACATCAGCTGTTTACACTGTCCCGAATCTCTGTGGCAAGAACGAAAACCCACCAATCTTTAAGCAGGACGTGTCTCAACGCAGGACCACAGTGCACACAAAAGCAGTGGCCATGCCTGTGGTTCGGGGCTGGGAAGTGTGCCCATGCATTTTGGTAGCATTCCAGTCAGGAAGCATGGCACCTATCATGCTGTGTAGGTGGAAGGCAAACAACCATCCACCCGTTAGACTCTGTATTCTAATACTCTGTGCATGTGTGGCTAGCCCCTGAGGGCAGCTGGAAGGCTGAACTAGGCAGCAGAAATCTAAAGAAGACAATAAGGTTAAGGGGGAAGGGATGATTTCAGGTTTTCTCAGAGGTATGTGGAATGACTTCTAAGTGTCTGTGGTTGCTTATGGCTAATGTATTCATAAGATGAGAATTGAGTTTGAAGCCCAAAGGTTGTCTCACTCATCTTTTTAATTGGGTTTTATTCTCCCCAGGAGTTAGCCAGTCTCCTTTCAGTGTGTCTCTGCTTCTCTTATGCTAAAAGGTGCAGATTTCTGAGCTCTGCTCCAGGTCCAATTCTTGATGTAGTAAAGCAGAATCCACAATGGGAATAGGGGTAGGAGAGAGGGAGAGAGGAGAGGAAGCGGGGGTGGGGTGAGGGTGGGAGTGGGGTGTGTGTCTGTGGTAGTCACCTCATGCATAACAGGTCCCAGTTATCTTCACACTTTGTCACTTCAATGTCTTTACACATTGTTACTAACACAGCTGTGATGTCATGTTTTTGTTTTTGTCTTTTGCTTGCTTGTGTTTATTATTGCATGTGGGGGATGGTGATGAATGAATGTGGGTATGTGTGGGGGTGGAGTCAGGGGAGGAGTCAGGGTTTTCTTCTTCCACCTTTAGGTGGGCCTCAGGAATTGGACTCAGGTTGCCAGGCTTGGACGGTAAGTACCTTTACCTGCTGAACCATCTCACCAGCCTGGTACTTTTTGAGACAGGGTCTAACTAAGTAGCCCAGGCTGGCTCTAAACTAAGAGGCAATCCTCCTGCCTCAACCTCCTAAGTGTTGAAGTTACAGGCATGAACCTCCATTCTTGAAAGAGCAGGACCATGGACTCACAGCACAGACTGTTCTTCTGTGCCAGGACAGAGGGACAAGAGGAGGGAGCATAGGAAATGGGCTGTTTTTGAATGAGCACCACCAGACCTTCATGATGATGGGAACATCCTGTGTCTCAGCTGCTACACAGTCAGCATCCCGGCTGGGAGGCTGCACTGGAATTTTCTGACTGTTTCCAATGAGAAAATTAGGTAAAGGGCACACAGGCTCTCTCTGTATTCCTTCGCAAAACTACCCGTGGCTCTACAATTCCAGCAAAATAAAAGATTTAACCAGGAAAAAAAAATAAATAAACTGAACGTTTCCCTCATTTTTTTTTCCCTAGACAGGGTTTCTCTGTGTAGCCTTGGCTGTCCTGGAACTAGCTCTGTAGACCAGGCTGGCTTCAAATTTGGAGATCCGCCTGCCCCTGGCTCCCAAGTGCTGGGATCAAAGGTGTGTGTGCCCCACCATTACCCAGAAGTTTCCTTCGTTTTCTTTTTCTATTCTTTCTTTCTTTCTTTCTTTCTTTCTTTCTTTTTTTTTTTTTCCGAGGCAGGGTTTCCCTGTGGCTTTGGAGGCTGTGCTGGAACTAACTCTTGTAGACCAGGCTGGCCTTGAACACACAGAGATCCACCTGCCTCTGCCGCCCAAGTGCTGGGATTAAAGGCGTGTGCCACCAACACCCTGCTATTTTCCCTCATTTCTAATGCAACCCTCTTTCAGGTTCTCAGTCATGTGGGGCCTCATACTTCCCTTCGAGACATTATTCTTCTTACTCTCACAAGAACTTGGTGTATAATTATCAATTTTTAAAATGGCCATGTCCAACAATATTTCTTCACAGTTGACTAAATAAATACAAGTGGGATCCAGAGAGATGGTTCAGTGGGGAAAGTCACTTGCTGCCAAGCATGATAACCCGAGTTCCATACCCAGGCCCCACACACCAGAAAGAGAGAAGTGACTCTTGTAAGTTCTTTGGTCTCCACATAGGGACCATGGAATGCACATGTGTGGCAAGGATGGACACAATAATAAATAAATAAGTAAATAAATAAGCTGGATGGAATTTGTAGGTAGTGTGGATTCCAAAGTAAAAGCATAAAAATAGATGAGAAAAAGACAGTGTAAAAAGGTATTCTTCAGGAAGTTGGGGTTGTAGCACAATTGAACTCTTGCCTAACAAGCGAAATGCCCTAGGCTTGATCCTTGGCACCATATAAACAGTATGGTGGAGCCAGCCTGTCATCCCAGCATCTGAGAGGTCAAGACAAAAGGATCACAATGTGATGGTTGGGCCGGGTACATGGCCAGAGCTCAGATCCCCAGAACCCATATAATAAAGAGATGGAGCAGTGTGCATCCATAATCCCAGTGTGCTTATGGCAAGATGAGAGCCAGAGTCAGGAGACTCCCCAGCAGCTTGCAGGCCAGCAGACCTGGCACACACAGTGGCGCATGGCAGAAGACTTTGCCTCTAACAGGAAGAAGTTGAGGACGAACCTATAGCCAATGTTGTCATTTGACCTCCACTCATGTACTTGTGGCACTGTGCATATAGCTACACTCACACTACACACACTTACTAAAGTTCATTGTCATCCTGGGCTGCATTGTTAGTTCAAGCCCGGCAAGATACATGAGATCCTGTCTCAAAAAAGAAAGGAGGAGGAGGAGGCAATCAGTGCCTTCATCTGCCCAGCTCATGATCTTTCCCCATTGCACATGGCCACCTCATGGATGAAGATATCATTTATGGAGATGGACATGTCAAGCCATTCAGAGTCAGCATCCCTTATCTACATTCCTCCTTTTCCTGGCCTGGCCCTCTAGTCTCCTTCACACTTGTTTAACTGCTGACTACAGCAGGCTAGCAGATGATCAGGATACGCTTTCAGCTTTCAGAGTCCCTTCGTAAATGAAAGTTTTCTTCTGTCTTCTCCCTAACCACAAGCGGAGAAAGACCAGGAATCCAGGACTTCAGAGCTCTGGAGAGCAGCTGGGGCAGGCACCACTCAACAGCCCTTACAGTCAGACATTCAATTTCCCTATTTTATAAAGTGACATACAGCCTGGCTGTTTCCTAAATAACTTCTGGTTGACTGAGGTGATCATATTAGGATAAATGAAAAGTTATTTGCTCTTAGTGAAAAAAAAATCAGTCTTCAAAGGGATATTAAAATGTTGCTCTGCTAAGCCCAGCTAAATGCATTTCCATCGAACCGTGTCACGGCTTATTCAATCACAGAGCTAATGAATGAAAACAAATGCCGTGACTCTGACTTGATGTGAAAGCAAGGCATCACTTGCCAGTTTCCTGAAGGAGCCAAGTACTGTATCCAGGACATGACAAAAGTCTTTTAGGTCTTCCACCATCAGCCAAAACTACGCTCACACCACTTAGCTGTCTGCAGACAGGCTCCATTTCACAGCCGACTTAGAAAATCTATTTGTCTGTCTTCAAAACAAATTTATAATTATCTAGAATCAAGTCTTGGTTGCACCGCTTCTCTGAGGCACAGCCAGATTGTGATGCAGAAAGTTAAACTGGGGCTGGGATTGTGGCTTGTTGAGACAGTGCTTGTCTAGCACGTGTGAGGCCATGGGTACGATCTTCTGAAGCAGAAAAAGAAAGGCAAGAGAAGGAAAGCTGGATTGAGGTTAATATATCCTGTTTGGGCAGGTACTTGTGGCAGTTCCAGGCTACAACACAATCATACATTCCACAGATGTTAAAGCCATATCTACTTACAATCACCACCCACACAGATCAGCGCCTTGTTCTGTGGCAGCCACTGAACAGCCATGGTTCCATCTTCCCACTTTGTCAGGTAAGTACCACCGTTCTCACTGTAGACATGAAGAGGCCAAGACTCTGGAGTGTGAACAAGGTATTTCCCAGGGCTCCATGGCTGGGGAAGGCACAGTGTGGACTTCCAAACAGACTGAGTGATACATGAGCCCACATGCTCTTTGAAAACAAAGGTGACATCTAGTCAGGTTATATGATTTGAGGCTCTATCACCATAGAGGAAGTCTTGATTTTCAGACATCCTTCAGGAGTTGGGATGAACATTATCTTTCTAATTGGGATACCTCTGCTGTCTAGCCCATTTCAATGACCAGTGACCACTTCTTCCATCTTTTAGCCAGGATATATGATAAGGACCCATGACAAGAAGAGGGGCACCTCAGCCAAGGACTGGTTTCTGAGCTTAGTTTTGTCACTGATAACACTACGGTATTGCATCTATAAACTCCTGACAGTCTGTGTTAAATGTTCAGTAAGATTTTATATATATAATTTGTAGATAGATAGATAGATAGATAGATAGATGATAGATAATAGAAAAATTCTTGAGAGATCTATTTTCCATTTGTTTATTTGTGTGTGTGTGTTGTGTAAAATATGTCAGAGGACAACTTGTGGGAATTGGTTCTCGGTTCCAGGGACTGAATTCAGTTTATCAGGCTTGGTGACAGGAGCCTTAATAGCTGAATCATTTCAACAGCAAGATATTTTAGTGTGTGTGTGTGTGTGTGTGTGTGTGCCTGAGTGAGTGTCTACACATGTGTGAGGGATGCACAAGTGCCCTTGTGCACATACAGAAGCCACAAGAGGGCATCAGGTGTCCTCATCACTGTCCACACATTTCTTTGAGGCAGGGTCCCTCCCTGAACCTGGGGCTCACATTTTCCTTGCTATGGCTAGAAGCTAAGAAGCCCCAGAACTCCTCTCACTTCTGCCCCCTTTGGAACTTGTATTATAGGCATTTGTGAGACACCCACCTGGTTACCTTAGTCCTGGGCCTGGGATCCAAAGTCTAGTCTTTATGATTACATGGTAAGCACTCCTAACTGCTGAGCCATCTCTCCAGTCCTCCTGGAATAACCCTTTATACCAGCGGTTCTCAACCTGTGGGGCATGACCATCAGAAAACACACATTTCTGATGGTCTTAGGAACCCCCAACCGTAAATTTATTTTTGTTGCTACTTCATAACTGGAATTTTGATGCTGAGAGGTGTCTCATTTCCCAAGACCATCAGAAATATGTGTTTTCCCATGGTCACAACCCACAGGTGGAGAACCACATCTTGATTTCAGGATTGGAAACGTTCTATTAATATTTAACTGGGGTATTTGATTTTCAATATTTTGAGTGAATCACAGAAACTAATCTGCCACAGGGCCTAGGGTTTAGCTCATTAGGACAAGGGGAGGTCTTGGGGTTTACTATTGCTGTGAAGAGACACCATAACCATGGCAACTCCTATAAAGAAAAAAAAAAGATTTAATTAAGGTGGCTGGCTTACAGTTTCAGCGGTTCAGTTATCATCATGGCGGGAAGCATGGTGTCCAGCAGGCAGATGTGGTGCTGGAGCTGAGAGTGCTTACATCTTGACTCAGAGGCAACAGGAAGTCCACTGACACAGTAGGCGGTATCCTGATTATATGAGACCTCAAAGCCTGCCTCCTTAGTGACACACTTCCTCCAACAAGGCCACACCCACTCCAACAAAGCCACACCTCCTAATAGTGTCACTCCCTGTGAGATTATGGGATTACGCAGGGCCAAATACATTCAAACTAAGGGGGGTGTGTCTTAGGTTTAATCCCTGACACCACAAAATAAAAAAGAATCTGCCACCTAAAATGTACAAAGTCATCACTAGTGGTTGAAATGTGGCATTTTTTACTTACTAATACTTCACAGCATCTTAAGTAGGACTCTCAGAACCTTGTGAAAATACGCAATATGGGTCTGTGTTTTTAAAAGTTAGAGAAATTGGGACAAAGGCTAAAGAAGGGCAGACATTAGCATGAGTCCCAGAGGTCATGTTATGCATATGCCATTCATTACATTTTGTTCTAAAAATAACCCAGCACAGCCACTTTACTGAAAACGTGGCTGCTGTTTTGGGAACCGTCTCTGCCAGCAGTGGACCCGCTTGTCCCTTTTCTTTGGGGCCAGCGTTAGGAAAGGTTCCTCTTGATTCTGTCCTTTGTCAGGTTGCAGGGATCTCATTCCTGTTTTTGTTTTTTCATCCTCCTCTGAGAAGCTACCTAACACAGCAGCTGGGGCAATAAAGAGTCACAGAGCTCTTCCAAACAAATGACCGTGAGGAGCATTTGAGGATTCGTTTGTCAAGAGGAGTTGGGCTATCTTCTGTGGGCAAGCTCATGTTTCCAATTTGGGACTCGGAGCAATCAGCTGCGGAGTGTCTCATATCCGCTTGACGTCAACACTGAGCCCTGTGGTATCTTTAGTAGCTCACTGTGCACAGTGACACCAGGGTATGAGCTGTCTCCTGAAAAACAGCTTGTTTGACATATGTTTATGCAGCTACAACTTGGCAGTGATATCAGCACTCTCTTCTAGAAATTTCTGTCACGGCTGCATAAAATGGACAAGTCTGAAAGGGAGAGTTTCTGTTTCCTAATGGCCCTCCCTTTCCTGTGAGGGTCATGTGCTACACCCTCATGTAACCACAACCTGGGCTATACAAACATTGACAGCATTCCTTCCATCAGCATTTCCCATAGATGAGCTGAATGTATAAAAGGAAAAATAAAATGCCCCAATGTAGACTTGAATTCTGTCTTACATAAAATGTCTGGTGTTTTCATTTTGTGCTGCTGTGCAAATGAAAATACTGGATACACCAAGGGCAAAATTCTAAAATCAATGTTATTTTACCTTTAATGACTTTGAGATACACACACACACACACAATATAAGTGTGTTATACAGTTGCACAAGTATATATAGGGCAGTTACATGAGTACATGTGCATGTGTGTGGGCGTCCATGTAAGTTGTCCTGCAGAGGTCCTCCTGGACCTCAGGTATCATTCCTCAGGATGTCTCCACCTTGTATATTGAGAGAGTCTCCCACTGAGATGGGGCTCCAAGGCACAGCTATGTTAGATATTTTGCAAGCCCCCAGATCTGATCTACCTGCCCCCACCTTCTCAGCACTGTGATTACTAGTGGAAATTGTACCTGGCTTTTGCATGGTATTAGGGACTGAACTCAAATCCTTATACTTGTGTAGTGGGCACTTCATCTACTGAGCTACTCCCCAACTTCATCACTTTTTAAAACTCTATTTTTACGGGACTTGAGAAATAGCCCTGCATTGAAACTTGCTTTATTTCTCATCACTCTGCTTCTTAAGGTTCATGGAGATATGGTCTCAGTCTGCTTGGTCTCTAGCTTTATCTAGGAAGCCTAAAACAACCTCTGTTATGCAGAGACTGTACCACATCATCATGTGTGTCACAATGTTTATTGAATGGATGAGTTCAATAGCATATAAAACTCAGGGCAAGTCAGGTCAGTGAGATGGCTCAGCAATAAAAGGTGTTTGCTGTTAAGCCTGACAAACTGAATTCGACCCCCATAACCTACATGGTAGAAGGGGGAAACCCCAAATTGTCCACTGTCTTAGGGTTTCTATTGCTGTGAAGGGACACCATTACCACAGTGATTCTTATAAAGGAAAACATTTAATTGGGCTGGCTTATGGTTTCAGAGGTTTAGCCCATTATCCATAGTGGGACATGGCGGCATGCAGGCAGACATGGTGCTAGAGAAGGAGCTGAGGATCCTTCTTGATCCGAAGGAGGAGTCTGTGTTCCACACTGGGAGCAGCTTGAGCATAGAAGACCTTTGCTCCCCCCAAAGCCCCCCCCAACAGTGACACACTTCTTCCAACAAGGCCACACCTACTCCAACAAAACCACACCTCCTAATAGAGCCACTCCTATAGGAACCATTTTCTTTCAAAACACCATATCCTTTGACCTCAACATGTGTAACATGGTACTAGTAAACATTCACTTGCTCACTTTCTCTCTCTCTTTCTCTCTCTCTCTCTATCTCTATCTATCTATCTCTGTGTGTCTCTGTGTATGTCTCTGTCTCTCTGTCTCACACACATACACACATTAAATAGACATGAGAAAAAAAGAACAATGGGACAGTGCAAAATTTATTAGACAGACTTTGACAAGGACACCCATGATTTTAGCACAGGGCTTGTGTCGAGGTGATTTCACCTATGATGAAGGGCTACACAACTCACAGAGAAGAGGAAAATCATATTTTTTAATATTTTCATGCCGGGAATACACTGGTTTCCTTTCCTGTTGCTGTGATAAAGCAATTTGGGAGAGAAAGGGTTTATTGTAGATCACAGATCAAGGTACAGTCTGTCCATCATGCTGAGGAAGTCAAAGCAGGAGGGGCTCGAAGCACCTGTCACATCAAACCCACAATCAGAAAATGGGGGAGAGCTGGGTGTGGTGGCGCACGCCTTTAACCCCAACACACTGGAGGCAGAGGCAAGTGGATCTCTCTGAGCTCAAGACCATCCAGGTCTGCATGGTGAGTTCTAGACCAGCCAGGACTACATAGAAAGACCCTGACAGAAAAAAAGAGAGGGTGAGGAAGGATGAAGGAAGGGAGGGAGGGAGGGAAGGAAGGAAAGAGAGGGACAAATGCTTGCAAGTGCTCAGTTAACTTTTTCCTATACAGTCCAGGATCCCCTTGCCCAGGGATGGTTCCATTCACAGTTAAGATGGTTCTTCCCATATAAATTAACATAGTCAAAATAACCACCCACAGACATGTCCAGAGACCCATCTCACTGGGTCATTGTAGATCACTTTGTCAAGTTGACAATCAACACTAGCCAGCACTGGCTGTGAGGCCTCAAGAGTCCCTGCTTGACTCTGTTTCTTTGAACTACTGCCATGGATGTGCCAGATGTGCAGCTTCAGTCCTCAGGACTGGCAGTCCCTGGCAGAATGGTGCATCACTTCTAGGCAGTCACAGCATGTCTTCTGCAAACTACCGGCAGAGTCTCTCCAGAATGCATTTCACAGTGGACCTCCAGGAATGTCCAGGAAGGGCCAAGCCCTGTAGCGGGCGCTGATGGCAGGCATCCATTCTGGATACTCTCAGCAAACCCAAGCCCAGAAATGGCTATTTCTTCAAGTAGAGGGTATTATGAGGTCACTGAATTTTTTAATCAGCCAAGATGTTTTCTTAATCCAAAGAAATTAAAAGATTCTCTTTTTTTTTTTCAAGTTTTTGGTTTTTGAAACAGGGTTTTTCTGTGTAGCGTTGGCTGTTCTGGAACTCACTCTGTAGACCAGGCTGGCCTCAAACTCACAGAGATCCGCCTGACTCTACCTCCCAAGTGCTGGGATTAAAGGTGTGGGCCACCATGCTGGATATTCAATGTTTCTTGTTGCTGTAGCTTCCTGAAGCCATTTGGCCTCAAACACACAGATGGCTATAGTAGTTACAAATCTGTTCACCGATGACTAGGGCTTCTTATTGGCTAGCTCTGTCATAATTATTAAGCCATTCCTATTAATCTATCTAAGTATTTCCTTGTGGTCTTATCGTACCGGAGAAGGGTCAGGACCTGTTACTTCTTTGGCAGCATACGTGGCGACTGTTTCTGTCTACATTTTCCAGAATTCTCCTCTTCTCCTAGACCCGCCTATCTCCCTGCCTTATTGACCAACAGTGTTTTATTCATCAACCAATAAGAGAAACATATGTACAGAAGAACATCCCCTATCAGATCTTAGGACTCAAAATCTTAAGTGATCAAATTGGGTTTATACAGTCTGTATAAGACAGGACTTTATCTAACTCTGGGACCATTTTTCTCCTCATTACAGATTTGGACAGCCCTTTCAACCACGTCTAAAGACATGACCAAGGCTCCAAATTATTTAAATGTTAAAGAAATAGTGTCAAGCCTCTTCCTGGAAGAGCACATGCTGGTTCTCATCCCCACATGGAAACTGGGCTTGCTGAGAGAAGCTCAGAACTTTGCTTCATGCAAATGAGCACACACCACACAATGTAGTCTTTCTTGTTTAGATCTCCAAATACTAAAGAAAATACAAATTGTCCTCCTGGCCCTTTATTTACATTGCTGGAGCTGGGTGTCTTGGCTTGAAACTACAATGTCCCATGGAGGCTCTCCTTGTGTTAAAGACTTGGCTGCCAAATGATGGACTTTGGGGAGTCATTGAATCCTGAGGGCTCTGATTTCATCAATAGATTAACCCATGGATTAATTCATAATTTCATGGTATTGTTGAGGAGTGAAGGAACAATGTAGGAAGTATAGCCTGGTTCAGGGAGGAGGTCCCGGAATATGACTTTGAAGGTTTGGTTCACCATGAGGTGAGCAGCTTGCCTGTGCCCTGCTGTGCAGGACAGTTTCATGTAGCACAAATAATCAAAACCCAGACACAGATATTGGGGTTAAAGCTGATGATCAGAGAAGCAAAGCGGCCAGCCACTAGAGTTCTCACCTCTATCAATGCTCAGGCAATCCACCGAA